CCGCCCGCGGGGGGGGTGGGGGGCGCCAGGAATAGCCGCACGTGCGCCCCGGCACACACCACCCGCGCCCCGGGGCGGAGGAGGGCTCCCACCGGCCCTCCGCCGAGCAGGTCGGCTCCGCTTCAGCCGCAGCCCGCCCGGCACAGGCGGGTCACTCCAGCGCCTCATCAGACACCGACTGCGCCCCAAAGCTTGCCACCAACTTTTGGTCCAGCTACTCGGTGGGTTTAATAAAAGAGAGCACCTCTACTTAAAGTACCTGGCCTGCCCACGTCCTTAGACCGACATGGGGACAGCCAAAACCCCGTAATAATATCACTCCCTCCCCTCCCTGTGGGAAGGTTGAGGTTTGTGTCCCCTCCAGAAGCAGCCAGAGTCTTCTTCCCCTTGCTCCCCCTTCTGCTTCGGCTGCGGGCTGGCCCCTGCTCCCGGCCGCTCGGGACAGCTGCTCTGAAACCTCTCCTCGGCTTGGCTCTTGGTTCATAACTGCTAAGGGACTTTGCTGCCTAGGGAGGACGTGGATGGAGAGTGTGAGGCTGTTAAAGAGGCCGCGACGGCAACTGAACCTCTGTCATGGACAAAGTGAAGCTTTTTAATGTTGGAGCGCTCCTTCCCGAGCTGCAGGAATAGGTTACGCCACAGCCAGGTCAGTGCTAATAGGGTTTCCTGCACAGCTGCACATGGAGGAAGACGTTTCTAGGCAGCGTAGCTATCTAAATATCCAGCAGCAGCAGGACAGGATCCAGACACACCATGAGACTGCAAACGGATTTGGCAAGCTGAAAGGAGACTTCTCCAGCGTCTGTAGAGGAAGTCACATCTTCCGAATATTTTCCTCTTCGGGCACCTTTGTCCTGATCCCACTTTGATTCAGGTGCAGATCCCAACCAGGCACTACACTGCTGACAGGTAATAATAGCACTCCCAAGTGATGCATGTCAATCATCCGTTAAATTACAGCAGTGATTCTCAACCAGAGGTGCCATGAGATCCTTTTAAGGGTGCCATACAATACTAGGTGAGCAAACACCTACACATGGTTCGCAAAACAAGCCCAGAGACTTCAGATGGGCATCCACAGCATCATAAATACCCGTTGACCACTTGTGGTCTTTCTGAGTTCTTTCCAACAGAACAAATTGCTCTATTATTTTTCTGTAGTCAAAAAGTGAGTGAAAGCTGAGATCTGGTATTTTCCGAGGGACATCTTGAGTGTACTTAGGGGTGTCTTGGATCTGAAAAAAGGTTGAGAACCACTGAACTAGGGTGTCAGCCACATGTTGCTGATGCTTGAGACCATCGTGTCTTTTCATGTCCCTTCCAGGGCCTCAGACGTATTAAACGGGAGAAGAAAAAGAAGAGCATGGCATTGAACTCTGCAAGCAAGTGCCAGGTTACCCTTGGTCTGAGAACTGAAAAAAGGAAGATCTGGCATCAGGTTAGCTCTTTTCTGCTGTTTAAACTTGGGACAAACACGTATCCTGAGCACTAGCACTAAAAGTCAAGCAGAGATCTAACAAGATGAACAGAAGCATCCTTCCCTTCTCTTCTCTTCTTTAGCACATACCCTATTATGTCCACTCCACCTCCCAGGTAAGAAGGGGAAACAATATTGGCAAGGGACAAGTGAAGGTTTAGGTGACTCTGCTGATTTTGCAGTCATCAAACTCAAAATCAGGCGGCTCCTGAGCAGTAGCAGGTGAGGTCTGTGAGATCAAGAGATGGCTTGTTGGAGTCCACCTGCTTACGAAGGTGAGGGGTTTGTTATAGTACTTTTCAGTCGGCTTTGAAAATGTCTCAATAATATCCCAGATGTTCCTGAATCACATTCACCAGCTAGGAGGGAGAAGGCTCTGAATCATTCTGTTTCCACTAGACCTTTGGGGTTTGTTTGTTTTTTGGCGGAGGGGGTTGTTTTTACTTTTAAAGGGTTGAACTTCACAGAGGGAAAGCAAAGCATGGCTCTGGATCTGTGTGTCACTTTTGTGGCTGGTGATCTTCGTCAGGAAGTATATTAGCAATTCCTCACGAGAACAGACGTCAAACAGCTCGACTTGTGTCTGCAGTAATGTGGAACCAGATCAGGTTTACAAAGTGGTTCATATTCTGAAGGTTATGACTCAGCGACTGATCGAGCAGAGAAGAAGAAATATCTCAGTGTCACTGTCCACTATGACTATGATGTTCAAGTGAAAAAAAATATCTTGGTTCATATTCATATATTTTAGCTCCTACTTTGTTCCAATTGTCTTTGAGTTGCCTTCTATTGTGCTTCATTTTGCTCAACTCACGTGACTAACTGGGCCCATAGGGGCACCAAGGGCCAAGAAAACAATACTTTTTATGATTGAGATAACCTAAGGCCCAAGAAATGGGGTAAGTGGGTCCATTCAACCATTATGGAGATGGACTACAGTGAGATACATTCCTGCTTGGGGAAGAAGTAGTAGTCTCTCCAGAATAAAGGCATGAATCTTACCTCCATCTAATTCCAAATACTCATTTAAAAATATATGGAAAGCAGCTACTTATATTAATCTAGTGTTTTCTTAAAAGAAAGAAAAGATCATAGAATCATATGAAGAATCAATCGTACCTGCTTTCCATGTATTTTTTTAAATGAGTATTTGGAATTAGATGGAGGTAAGATTCATGTCTTTATTCTGGAGAGACTACTACTTCTTCACCAAGCAGAAATGTATCTCACTGTCGTCCATCTCCATAATGGTTGAATGGACCCACTTAACATAAGATAAGAGTGTTAGGACCACAGGATTAGAAATGGTCGTGTTGAATTCTCCTGTGACACTGGTATCATCAGACAACAGATTAAAATATAATTTAGTTTTACCAAAACTTTGACAACTTCCTTCAGTCCCATAGGGTAAAGTGGTGAGACGTTGCTAATTACTGTTTACAAAATGCTTTGAAAGTGTCAGATGCAAGATGCCACTTAAAGTGGGAAGGCATTAGTCTGCCTCTCAATGCTCTCATATGGAATTCATTTGGGAAATTACCTACCAGCCCTTAATTCCCATCTAGGGCAGGAGTCAGGGCAGCAGACAAGCTAATTAACCCCAGGTGGCCGTGTTTACCCAAATGAGTCTTGTTGCCCACCGCAGCTTAGCTAATTACCTGCATGGGCACTGCTGCCTGCTTATAAGCAGCAGTCCTTTTAGTACCTAGCAGGCTACTCAGCAGGATAGATGCCTGTTAGGCTCCTAGCTTGCTAGTGCCAAGTCCCAACAGCCCACATCCCTCGACACCTACTTTCCTTTTAAGAGGAAAAGGGAGAGTGATTGAACAGGATGGGGAAAACTTTTCTCTGGGTCATGGCTTTCCTAAGATGCTAAATGGATATGCTATCCTTGGTAACATGAATATTGCGTCTCCTATTGTAAGGCAGGTAACCTATCACGTGGATTTTTCCTGGAATTTGTTTGTATCTCAGCACCAGATGGAGGTGTACGTTACAATATGGAATTTGATCAAGAGACATGCAGTCCTGGTTCAAGAGGTATCCCTATTGAACTGCCCCTTCTTGTTCCTTTAGAGAACAGCCTGTATCACCCCTTGGGATACAACAAGACCTACACCTAGGCTGTCGGGGTGTGACTTCAGCAGCATGCCTGTTTTGTGCCACCCTATATGTTTGTATTCATAAGGCTACCATGCTGTACTGATGGGGCAATGTCCCAGAACTCCTCCAGGTGGGTCATCCCATAATTAATCTATTAATGCTGTGTAGCCGACTCTTGGTGCAAGTCCTGACATAAGGCTTGGAGCTATAATGGCACAACATGTAAATAACTTATGGAACTTATTTCCACAAGATATTGCAGAAGCCAGAAATTTAACCAGGTTCAAACGAGATTAGACAGATTTGGGCAAGGTAGGTAGGCCCATCACTGTGTATTAAACACTATAGTTTTTGGGACAAGCTCTAAATTAGGACCTCCTGGCCTCTAAATACTGGAAGCTCCAAAAGAAGACAGACAGGAACAGATTAGCCTGGCTAGGCCCTATTTAAGTACCTTTCCCCTTAGCATTTGCTCTATGCCACTATGAAATGCAGAATACTAGGAACCTCTTCTGTATAGTATCTCTTTTGTAGATAGCATAGAAGATAGTCTAACCCCAAGGTGTTTGTCTTCAGTCTGTAATACTAAGAAGTCATCGTCTATGTTGTATATAGTTACCTGTGTTTATGGTCCCTTAAGGGACGTGATGGGTTACACAATTTGATGTAGAAAAGTAGTGGGTGTGAATTTACAGTTTGGTGTCTCCGATCTGTAAGCCTACAGGGTTCCCCCACCTTTTGTTCACTTAGTTCACGGTTTGGCTCTTGTGTTGTTCTCATGAATGATACAGTCAGAGTTTTACAAAAACTAAGATCATGGGGAAAGATCACAGAGACCAACTGCAAATGTCACTGCAAACGAAACCCTTAAAGGCAAAATACAGTGCTTGTCATTTCATGTGTCCCTGAGTACCAAGAAGAGGCATTTCCAAGCACAGTGTCATCATGATATTCACAGCAGGCTGAGTCAAATCCCTTAGATATGCAGCAGGTGGACTTGACACAGAGAAAAGTTTCCCATTTTGTGTGTCACACAATTAGATACTTACTTCACTCATAAACAATGATGGCATGAATAATATCCTGAGACTGAACAGTAGGATGGGGTTCAACCTGCAAACTCTCTAGTGTGCCCTGTTCCTTAGCACCTCTACTCAGGCCACCTTGGGTGTTTTTTTTTCATGTGCTCCAGGAGGTGGGGGGGGGGAGGCACTTTAATTAGAGGAGCTCCAAGAGCTGCTCTAATTAAAGCATCCAGACCATCGTGTATATCGGCGTCCCCATACTGAACAATGGCGGTGGAGCTGCTTTAACTGAAGCTTGTTGAATCAGCTTTAGTTAAAGTGCCTCTACTGCCATTTTTTAGTGCACGGACACTGATACACACGATGCTTGAGTCTGCTGGAGAACAGTAATTGCCACACTCCAGCAAACTCTATTTTAATTGAGTCTGCTCCAATGCACAGTAATTACAATGCATCAGAGCAGCCTCTCTGCACATATATTGGTGCCCCTTGTTTTCAGCCTTCACTGGAATCTTTTTTTTTAATGCCATTTTGCTTGACGTTTATTTGTTTCTATACAATGCATCCAATCAATAATACGATTACATTTTACCTGCCCTTGGTATCTCCAAGCTCCTTTCACAGTGATTATAAGTCTTCCTGCCAGCAGGCAGAGAGAGGGGAAAAGAAGAGGACCTATGCTTTCAAATATGACTAGTGTTTCTGGATGCTCAACTTAAGGAACTAGTAAGGGCCTGCTTTTTCAGAAGCTTTCCTAAACATCAGGCCCCTGTAATGGGTTCTTAACCAAGACACCCAAAAGTAACCAGTCACTTCTGAAAATTGATGCTGCTAACCTGTTTGATGTGCTCCACGTAAAGTATGGGGTTGGGTGGCTGAGTGCTCCCCATTTGAGGGTCCTAGACAGAGTTCCACATAATAAAGTAACTCTTCCCAAGCTCACCTGATCTTTTCTCCCGCAGACTTCCTGACCTATTCCAGTCTCCTTTCCCCTGCCAATGTCACCTTGTCTTTTTTTTTTTGCTCTTTGAAGATCCATCTCTTTCTCTGCCCACCTTCTTGCTTCCAATTTTTTTGCACTGTTATGTAGCCACCATCCTCCACCTTAGAGATGGGTATAGCCCAGAGTTTGACAAAGGGATTCTTGCAATAAATAGCCAAGTCAATCTGTTAGTAAAGATCGTAGAGGGCTTTGTGATCCATGCGGATAAAAGCAAGGGTAGGTTAGGAGTTTGGATTGGAATGGGAGTGTGTGGAGAAGCAGAGGGTGGCATGAAGAAGAGAGCACAGCTTATCACTAAACCACATGCCCCTCCAGAACCTAGAATTGACCCCACAAGTCCCGAGTCCCCACTTTCTTCTGCTGTCCAAATGTGGCAGTAAACTTACAGATAAAGGGTGTGTGTCACACTGTGTTCCCTTGTGTTTCCAGTCTACGTGCAGGAATAGATATAATTTAGTAGCCTGTAACTCACCTGGTAGAGGCATGTATGCACTTGAGAGCATTAGCATTAAATTTAAGGTGCAGTTTCAAATATACCCTGTAGGTGAACAAAAAAAGGATGCATGTCCTTTGAAAGAGCTCTGACTGAATCGCATTGTTCTATGCAATTGTCGAGGTACCCCTGTGTACAGAAATTGATTTTGGGGAACATATCTTTGTATAGTAAATAAATGTCCCTAATTGGATGTATTACTCCCATGTTTGGTCTCTATTAACAGCTAGTATTAACCTATTTTCACTTCTATCATTTTTATTGGTACAGACCATGGCATTTCGTATGAATGTATCTTTTGTATTTTTGTAATCGGACTTAATCAAAAGATGATCAGTCACTAAATCAGATGTCAAGACTCCTTCTCACCAGATAGTGACTCTTCTGCATACAGTGACTCTTCTTTTGGCAAACATATCGATCAACCATGGAGGTGGCAAGACTCTGAATGCTTTCCTGGATCAGAGGGTGTATCAAAAATGGCTTAATACATTTCAAAGAGAAATGTCTCCATTTGCCTAGACGATGACTAAGAACATTTCAAAAAGAAATCTTATGTAGAGAATGATATCTCTCTCACTCTTGAATAACATAAATAGCAGCTGAGGGAAATCTGATAGGAGTTTACAGTAATTGTGTTGTCATTCTTGACTATAAAAATGAATAGGAAGAGCACCTAGCCTAGATGCTGGTCAGGGGGAAGGAAATCATCTGCCTAATATGCATGCTCCCCAAGAATTGAATTGAGAAATAATGGGGAGATAAGGTATTAAAGGGAAGCTTTTGTGGGAGAGAATGGTTGTCTATGAACCCCTAGACCCCAGTAGAGGAGCCTTCGGGGAAACAAAATCCGGTCTGTACCTGAGGCCATGCAGCAGAAGTGCTGGGAAAAGTGCCTGGAGCCTCTGGGATCACCCCTGCAGGACTGACCATGATGCTTGGCACAGCCCTTAAGAAAAACTGCTGGGCTTCAAGTTTCTCTCTGTTGTGCAGGTGTATTTCAAGTCAGAAAGACCTGGACAGGCTGATGTAACATGGGGGTAGTAGTGGCTGTGAGTTTATTTCCCTGGGCTCTGCACAGCATCCTGCACCAGGCAAGGCCATTTTAGTGTCTCAGGTTTTATTCAGAAAACTTTCACATCAAAACAATTGTAGCCATAATGACCTCCCCTGGCTGCCAGCACCACTAGTTAAATCCCCTGTTGCAGGGAATAGCAGGGAGACTAGAGAGCTAGCATTGCTGCTCATTTCTTTCCATCATTAAAAGACTTTGGGATGATGCAGGGTATTCATGCACCTAATTTCAAGCATTTCCATTTCTGGCAAGGGGAACGTAGTATGCCTGAACAACATGAAAGTTCATGCTGGATTCACTGGACACCTG